TGCTGCATCATCCCTTCCTCTTTGGGAAAATACCGACGTAGCTTCATGCGACATCAAAAGGAATTTCTGGCGCCGTTGCCGGGGAGGATCTTCAACATATACCGGGTTCCTAATCACAAATCTCATCTCCTTGAAATTTACATTATTTCCCATTTGCCTCTCATTTTCCTCTCCCCCACTTCACAAAAATTTGTTGTTTTATTCGCCCCTCTTTTCCGTTCGCCGTTTTCTTGCCGGATCTGTTTTTGAGTGCAATCTTGTTGTGTGGTCATCATGACTCAAGAGAACACCAATGTATGTGAATTCTCAAATACCAACAACAATGATTTTATTGGCACTCTGCTTGCTCCTCCCGCCACTAGTGCGGAGACTTGTGATATTAATACTGCTTTGCTGAATCTTGTAATGAAAGACCAATTTTCCGGTACTCCTAATGAGGATGTCGCGTCCCATCTTAATACCTTTAGGGAAATATGCGATATGAAAAATAAAAAATATGTGGACAATGATGTGGTCAAGATGAAATTATTTCCGTTTTCTTTGTGTGATTCTGCAAAAAGTTGGTACTCTTCTTTGCCGCGTAATAGTATCGATTCTTGGAATAAGTGCAAAGATGCTTTATCACTAAGTATTTTCGCCCGCAAAATTTATTTCCCTTAGAACCCAGATCATGAATTTCAAGCAACTTGAACATGAGCATGTTGCACAATCTTGGGAAAGGATAAAAATGATGCTAAGGAATTGCCCAACACATGGGTTAAATCTTTGGATGATCATACAAAACATTTATGCGGGGTTGAATTTTGTTTCTCGTAATCTTTTAGATTCCGCCGCGCGTGGTACTTTTATGGAAATTACTTTGGGTTAAGCCACCAAATTTCTTGATAATATTATGGCAAATTATTCGCAATGGCATACCGAAAGAGCTCCTACTAGTAAAAATGTTAATTCGGTTGAAGAAATTTCTTCTTTGAGTGAAAAAGTTGATGCTCTTGTGAAATTGGTTGCTAGTAGAAGTGCTCCTATTGATCTTAATGATATGCCTTTGTCTACTTTGATTAAGAAAAATAGTGATTCCATAGATGTGAATTTTATCTCTCAAAATAATTTCAACAACAATGCTTATAGAGGTAATTTTAATCCTAGGCCTTTTCCTAGTAATTCCTCTAATAATTATGGTAATTCCTATGGAAATCAACCTTCTAATAATAATAGGAACACCTCTGATCTTGAGAATAATATTAAAGAATTTATCAATACACAAAAAGTTTTCAACACTTCCATAGAAGAAAGTTGAGTAAGATTGATGATTTGTCTAGAAGTGTTGATAGAATTGCTCATGATGTGGAAAATCTCAAAATGAAAATTTTTGTGCCTAAGGTTGATGAATAAATTAGAGCTCTTTATATTTCTATGGATGAAAGTAAGAAAAGAACCGCTATGCTTAGAGTTAAAAGAGAATTTTTAGAAAAAAGCGTTTTCTAGTGATTTCTTTCACAAAAGTGATGAAGATCTTAAAATGATTGGTGTTTCTTCTATTGATTCCTTGTTTAGTAAAGTTAATATTGATGAAAAAGGGACTGGAGAAGATTCAACTTTAGGTAGAAGGCGTCCCAATATTTCGGAGGGTGAAAATCTTGTTGAGAAAATTGATAAAAGTGGGTTTCAAGAGGTTAAAACTTTAGCTAGTGATGTGCCCACTCTTTTGGATTATAAAGACTATAATTATGATAGTTTCTCTTTGATTGATTGTATTTCTTTGTTGCAATCCATGATAAATTCACCCCATGCTTATGAACAAAATAAAGCTTTTACTAAACATATTGTTGATGCTATGATGGGAGCTTCTAAAGAAAAGTTGGAATTAGAGGTTTCAATTCCTAGAAAATTGCATGATGAATGAGAACCTACTATCAAAGTCCAGATCAAAAATTATGAGTGTTTTGCTTTGTGTGACTTGGGTGCTAGTGTTTCTACTATTCCGAAATCTTTATGTGATGTGCTTGGTCTTACCGATCTTGAATCGTGTTCTTTGAATTTGCACTTGGCGGATTCCACTATTAAAAAGGCCATGGGAAGAATTAATGACGTTCTTATTCTTGCAAATAGGAATTCTGTGCCCATAGATTTTTATTGTTCTTGATATTGATTGCAATCCGTCTTGTCCAATTATTCTTGGTAGAGCGTTTTTATGCACTATTGGTGTCATGATTGATATGAAAGAAGGCAATATTAAGTTCCAATTTCCTTTTAGGAAGGGTATGGAACACTTTCCTAGAACAAGAATTAGGCCACCATATGAATCAATCATGAGGGCATCTTATGGATCTCGAACCAAAGATGACAAAACTTAGATCCTTGTTTTATGCCTAGTTAAGGGCGTAAAGATATAGCGCTTGTCGGGAGGCAACCCAATGAATAAAATTTATTTTTGCTTTTTGCTTCCTGTTCTTGAGTGTTAGCACAATTATGCTACTGTTATGATTGGGTTTTTTATGTTTAATTAGTGTTTGTGTCAAGTAAAGCCTTTAGGATCTTCTTGGGTGATAGTTGTTCGATCTTGCTAAAAAAACAGAAACTTTTACGCTCATGAAAATAATTTTCATTTTTTTACAAGAGAGCGATAAAATACCCATTCCACCTGCAGTGGATCAGTATACAAATTGCTCAGGCCATCCTAAGTTTTCAGAATGTTTGGAGTTACATAAGTATTCGAAATAGTCAGATTTCTATAGACTATTCTGTTTTGACATATTCAATTTTCTTTGTGTTGTGTGCTTATTTTGATGGCTCTATGGTTTTCTTTGATGAGTTTTTGCCATAGAGAAGTTGGAATATAGTAGATATAATGTAAGAACAAAATATGAATTGGTTTAATACAGCACTTACAGTAGTGATTTATTATTCTTATACTAACGGATCTCATGAAGGTTTTGTTGAGTTTTGTGTGATTGAAGTTTTCAAGTTTTGGGTTATCTTACGATGGATGAAGGAATAAGGAGTAGAAGAGCCTAAGCTTGGGGATGCCCCGGCATCCCAAGCTATTATCCAGAAATGAGCAACCAACTAAGCTTGGGGATGCCCCCGAGTGGCATCCCTTCTTTCTTCTAACGAACATCGGTATTTTACTCGAAACTATATTTTTATTCGTCACATACTATGTGTTTTGCTTGGAGCGTCTTGTATGATATGAGTCTTTGCTTGTTTTATTTTGTGTTTTAAAGTCTTGATTCCTTGCTGGACACACCTATTTGGGAGAGCCAAAATTATGTCATGATTTGTTAGAAATTGCTCTCTATGCTTCACTTAAATTTTTATGAGCTATGGAATTGCTCTAGTACTTCACATATATCTTTTTGAGCACGGTGTGCTTTAGTATTTTTAAAGAAATGTTATCTTGCTTCACTTAGATTTGTTTGAGACTTATTAAAATTTACAAGAAATTCTCTCTTGCTTCACTTCAATTAATTTGAGAGAAAGAAATATTATGCTCATGATCTTCACTTATATTTGTTTGAGCTTGTCAAAAGCAACATATGAAAACTAGTCCCAAAGTGATAGATATCCAAGAAGGATATAATAAAAACTTTCATGAAGATCATTGGACAAAATAAACTTGATTCTTAATAATAGTTTTGAGATATATGATGATGTGATATGTGAGTCATCTTGATAAGTAATTATGCTTTAGTAAGAATATTGGTGTTAAGGTTTGTGATTCCCTATGCAAGCACGAAAGTCAATAGTTATGAAATGAAATTACATCCTACTTATGGTGCATTATTCGGTGTTAGTTATGCTTAATGCGCGCTTATGAGATTATTCGTTTCTTCGTTGGTCGCTTCTCAATCTTTTGCTAGCCTTCATTTTGCACTAAGTATGATCACTATTTGTGCATCCAAAAATCTTTAAACCAGTTTTGCCACATGACTCCACTATATCTACCTATATGCGGTATTCTTTTGCCGTTCTAAGCAAATTTGTATGTGTCATCTCTAATTTTCAAAAATAAACATCTTTTTTGTGTGTTTGTTTCGCTCGCGGAGCGGTGAGGGGTGGCTAATATTTTCCGTGTTAGATGTGTTATTCTCAGGAGGTGGTAGATCTGGAACCCGAGCAGGGCCCGCCACCATTGATCCGGGGGGCACCCTCATGAGACGAATACCATGGCCAGACCTCCCTGCCATCGCCTCCAAATCTCTGTGTGCCGAAGTTCTTTTCCAACCAGGCTCTCATCCCTTTCCATTAAAGACTTGACGGAATATTCGGTACAGGTCTCCTGACGACAATCGGCAACAATTAAAAGCAGGGAAGGGGGCGGGAAAGGGGATAGGCGAGCTGGGGCATTAACAAAAGACCCACTGCAGATGCGCGATGTTCAAACATCTGCCGCGGGGCAAAAACCTGTTAACACCAACAACCAATACGCCGAAGTTCTTATAGTTTCCCGCAAGAGATTACACCTGAGAGCGTCTTGCACATAACCATGTTCCACAAAAATTATTGCAAAACGAACCTGCATAAAATTGTATCATCACTTGGTTGCCTCTCTTCTCCTCCCTGGAGGGCGGAGGGACAAGATTGGAATCTAGTATCAGCCACGCCACCCACGCCGCAAAATTAGAGCAGCCCGTCACCGTGCAGATTTCGCGTCCCGGCTGGGTGACTTCCATTTTGATCTTCTCCGCTGGACAAGGGGACGGGTGTTTGTGGAATTGTTAGGATTTAATTAATCTTATTAATTCCTACTTTTCCTAACCAAGGCGGTTGCTTCGCATCCCTTTGATCATACCTCTTCGGGGCTATATATATGTGTAAATGTCATCATCAATGAGAACGACGATTCACTTTCACATCTGTGCCAAGGCTCTCTGGATTGTCTCTCGTTTCCCTTTCAACACGTTATCAGCACGCTTCCGGCGGAGCGATCCCATCGACGACTGGCTACGACATCGCTTGCGAGTTCTACGACTGCAGCCCTCGGTTCGGCCTGTTGCCCGCTACCGCGGTGGCCTCACCCCGGCGGAAAAGCTTCCAAGCGGCAGACTCGCCCCGTGCACGGCCAAGACAGAAATCTCTCGATCTCTAACTGCCTCTTCTTTCTCGAATACTAACTGCCTCTTCGAGAGCGATACCCTACAGGGAATGAATGAAGAATAGGAGCATTGGCGTCCATCGATCCGAAAAGAAATCGAGAACGTGAATCAAGGAAAGGTAAATTCCTGACTTAATTACCATCGTCATTGGATTTGGTGGTGGCGCTTGTCGCCATCAAGAACGTGAACGACGACGGCATCGGCTTCGTCTGGCCTCGGCTTGACCTCTGGCATCGTAAACGGTGGCGGGCCCTCGGGCGCTCGACTCCGACTCCCTGCCTCCATCACACGGAGACGCGCAGGATGACGCTCCCGAAAGTGGCCGTCAACCGCCCGGCGCTCCACAGCACGCGGTGCGTTGGCGCCCCCTTGCCACTTGGCTCGGCCTCGACTTCCAATGCGTGGCATGTCGACGTCCTCCGGCGCAGAGGCGGCTCCAAGAGCAGAGTGCCTGAGGACCGCAGCCTGCACGCGCAGGCGGCGACCTCGGCGAAGTCGCGGACCATGACAACGGCAAGGCGATGCCCTCGACCACTATCCCCCAGCGTGTGGTGGCGCGGCCCTGGACCAATTGGAAACACGGGGCTTCTCCCTCCGCCAGTGCACGGTGGAGCTGCCTTCCTAGGCGGCGACGGCAGCCCATGACCTGCACGTGGCATGGAGAAGCTCCTGCGCGGGCTGCGTCCCGGTGGCAATCTCTCATGTACTCGCTCACTAGCACCACACGTCCAGACAGGAGAAAAATACAAGGAAGCCTTATCTCTTCGCGAGTTTTGCAATATAGCCCTAGCGGCTTTACCTATTTTCGGAATAGGCCAAAACTTGTGTCTTAGCACATCATTTGCTATTCATTAGCATTCGTGACGTTTAGGACATGTAAAGATCTGCTATTAGCCTATTTTCTGTAGAGTTTTGAAATTCCAAAAATATGTGGTTGTTATTTGCTTGACCTATAACATGTTCTTTACCGGTACAATGACATTGTTCTGTGATTGAGATTAAGTTTTCTCACACAACAATATAGATTTGCGATTGAGAATTATTATTTTCTCGCAAAACAATCTCATTGCGATTGAGTTCAATTTTCTCTCGCAAATTATTAATTCACCCTGCTGAATTATCTTGCAACTTGATACAAGATCATCTCATTTAATTTGAGGTCTATACAATTCAAATTTTTCACTTGAGCATCAAGTTTACAACATCATTACTATTTATTATAATAGTAGTGTATATCTGTTGAGTACTGAGATGTATTCCAGATCTTAAGTTGATGTAATATATTTCCACGTTTATCACGTGTCAAGATTAATTACATCCATTTGCAACTGAGATTTTTTAATCTCTTGCAAAGATAAACTCGGTATCTATGCGGTATTGTTTCTCCGTTGAGTACTAGGTATTCCGGAATATTGTCTATGATGTATTTATTTCCATGTTAAACACATGTCGAGATTAATACATCTATTTGCAATTGAGATTTTTAATTTCTTGCAAATACAAATGCAAAATTCAAAATGGTTTCTTCAAATTGATGCTTGGGATCACAAGGTAGTCATATGGATCTACTGCCTACGCAGATTATCGATGACTACTGATAAAGCCTACATTTTGTCGTTTCGATATTATGATTGTTTTACAAAGTGCTCTCCATACATTTTACTAAATGATGACATAAGGCATTACGAGTGAGTGTCGACTGATTTCATCAGATTATACTCCCTAGTGCTGCGAGATCTACTTCATTTTGGAGATTATTTTCAAGGTGTCATATTTAGCAATTTGAGATTCACACTAATGGTTTCAAGATAACTTCTTGAAATACCCATTGATTTTGTTAAGTTCATTACAACATCATCCATGATGGTGTTTAATTTACTAGCTGTAAATTAATTATCTCTGGTTTACCCATAGAGGTAATATATGGCTATAAAATTGAAGGCATTCGTCCTCAATGGCCACCACTACCCTATCTGGGCCATGGACATCATGATCGCTCTGTGTCTCGTGGGACAATGTGTGCAATCCTGGATTCACCTCTGGTTAGGATCACACCGCTAATAGAAAAATGTTGTCTTATACATCATAAGGCATTAGATTCAGATCTCAGCATCTGGTTATTCTGTATCAACAATTCCTGGGACACAATGAAACTCAAGGGCAAAGGTTTGAATTTTACTTCACCCTTTAACCCGACATCACCGGCTGTGACGGGACCCTATGGGCACGGAGAATGTGATGGTTGAATATGCCTCAACCGACATGTTTGGACTATGAATAGTCTTTCAATCTCCTGAGTGGTCAATATAATTAATGTCCATTTACGATGTTGTAACAACAACATAAGTATTGTTGTCATCATATATTGTATCAGCACTTTGATACAAATACATATGTATGTATTCTACATATCTGATAGTGATTTTCATATTGAGAATCTGCATGTCTATATATAGATTTCTACGGGATTCAATCCGATGAAAAATGATATGTACCTTGTGGACATATGCACCACAAACTCTATACTCAGGGAAGTCCAATGTTTCCACTCTCATTGAGAGAAAGGGGATATTTTTAAATCGCTAGACGCGATGAGGTATTTGTTGGCTCAACTCGAGTCATATTTACTATCCCTGTGAGTACTCGAGTAAGGTCGGGATGCTTTATTGCTTCCCGGGTTTAACTCGTACCCTACTTGACTATGGAGTATCCGTTAAAATAGTTTCCATAGCGAAACTTCTGATGACAACAAAGAAAAATAACTTCTCTTTACCATATGCAACGGATATGACAAGCACATTCTCTGTGCATCATTTGGATTGTACTACACATATGACACAACCCGTAGCACATGTTGCATACGAGATAGTTTTCCAGAATGTCTTGTACATGACAAACTTGGCATACTCGCCTTGGTATTGAGACATTGGGTTGAAACCGAAACTAGCAGCAATTCCAATAGTTTATGGTTATTATGATGCTAAATTCTAACAACATTTGGATTTTATGTGCACTACAAGTGACACAGGGAAGTTAATTTTAAGGCTCACACATCTTAAAGACTACGCTGAACCACTCAGACTCCTTGCATCAGCCACGCCACCCACGCCGCAAAATTAGAGCAGCCCGTCACCGTGCAGATTTCGCGTCCCGGCCGGGTGACTTCCATTTTGATCTTCTCCGCTGGACAAAGGGATGGGTGTTTGTGGAATGTTCGCGTCCCGGCCGGGTGACTTCCATTTTGATCTTCTCCGCTGGACAAAGGGATGGGTGTTTGTGGAATGTTCGCGTCCCGGCCGGGTGACTTCCATTTTGATCTTCTCCGCTGGACAAAGGGATGGGTGTTTGTGGAATGTCTGTCCTGTCCTCCCCCCCTGGCTGGCAGGCGGCACCACCGCTGGGTCGGGTCAGACAGATGAATAGATCCAATCTGGCTCGCATATTTCTCTCGCCGCGGCAACATGGCCCTGCTGCTGCTGCCGGTCTCTCTCTCTTCACCGTTGAGATCCCTGCACCTGAGACGGGATGGGTAGGTAGGATAGACTATGCCGTTTCTGCGTTTCAGCTGAGCGAGTTGCTAGTTTCCAATGTAGGACATGTGGGAACGGCGCGATACCAATTCTGTCCCGGCTTGCATGCATGTGCTCCATCTGCATACATGACACGACTCCCTGCTGAGCACATGCGTCCAAATCACCTGGGGAGAACGATGGATGCCATGATGGGGTCTGTGGAGAGCTGCTAAACTGTCTCGTTTTTCAGGGCCTCTTTGATTTTCACAAGAACGTAGAAGAAATAGAATAATAAGATTATTATTTTTCTTCGATGACACCAGTCATTCATTCTGATTCAAAGGAATGGCACGTAAGAGAAACGAAACAATTTAGCTTGCATTTTAGTTTCACAGTATAACAAAACAAAGATTCTTCAATCAACTCAAATCCCCTTTTGCACAAACAAGGCAAATGCCATTACTGAAATAGTAACAACAGCCTAATCTGACTAAGTTGTTTAGGATTCCATGTCTGCCTCCATAAACCTCGGTTTTACATATGCAATCTAATCTAATTACTGTGTTGAAGTTTTGACATCCTGCAAATCAGTCCTACAGCTCGACAAACCAGTCCTGAGACTCACATGCCAATCTAGACTGGATAATGCCGGGCTGCTATCTCAAAGATTGTAACCGACAAGTCATTAGAAGGAACCTAGGCATGTTCAATCAGGAAGGGGAAGAAATGGCCTGAGGAATTAAGATGATACTTCCTTGCACTGCACAAGGAGATCACTGACATACATGCCCATGATTCCGGTGTCCTGTACAGATTCATGTATCCTGTATAAACTCGAGGGCGCAGGTACACACCAAAAAAAGCCCTCCCTCCTAATTTCAACTTGACATTCTGGCTGATCTGGGGTATCCTAAGGCTAATGGGAAAGAACAAAAGGGGGGCCATGGCCTCCACAGGAAGGAATGTTACCAAAAAACATGTGCAGAGTCTACAGAGGTGAGCATGTACACAAAATGGCACGACCCAAGCATGTTAGTCGTCAGGGCGGTGGATCTCGCCCATCAAGATGCGGTTGCTGTGGACCTTGAACCCGAGAAGCGAAGGGTCGATCTGCTTTCCTTTCTTTGCTTTCTTCTTTGTGCCCTTGCCGCCAGGGCCGCCGTCGGCGGATTCAGAGGCGTCATACTGCAAGGGGGGCTTCTTTGTGCTCTTGAGCATCTCACTGAACGAAGGACCAGAGGCGTCCTGATTGCTGCTAGGTGGGATGCCGAACGACCCTGCCTCTTTGTTGGCTGAAGCAGTGGCTTCAACGGCATGGGCTGCTGAGGTGACTCCAGATTCCATCTTATGCTCTGCACAACAAGATTACAATATCAGAGGTCAGAAACCATAAAATGGTATAAATCCTATACCGTTTTGTAGAATCCTCAAGTCAGAACAGCAAGCGGAACATTTGAAGCTATATTATAAATGAAGGTTCAGGTGGCTGAAACTGGCCTATATCCTTCCTTTTTACTATCCATCGAAAGCAAAGTGGTCTTCAGTTAATTCAATTAGCTATGCATGGATATTATTGGACTTAACATTAATGTGACTGCGGATATAAGAGTGTCACTGAAAAAAAACACATACTTTCCGCATGAGAAGAAAACCACACAGTTAGGTTGAACATGGCGTACCATCAGAAGATGCAGAAGAAGCATGGCCTGCCTTCTTGGACCTAATGGCTGAAGACAGATCCGTTGACGCTGCCTGCGAGGTAGCAGCGTGTGGGTTTGCTGTGCGCTTTAGCAGGGAATGGGAGCTTCCCTTTGGGATGCCAGTATCAACCCTGCATATTGAAAAGAAAAAAACTTGATTGAGCCTTGTACTAGAGAACCAACTGTGTGTTCACATGCCACCACTATGTGTAAACTGACAATAACAATTTGGACAAGTAAAATACCTAATGGCCTCTGGAGAAGTGAACATAAATAAAGAACATGGCATGTATATATATTAACAGAGTACTGAAGAATCACAAATCTTTGTCTAGAAGACATGGAAAGCCTAGATATCAGAACTTGGATGGGCATGCAAAAATAAAGTAATGATACTGTATATTTGTAGAAACTATATATCGGTAGTGAAAGTTCGTTGTGTGGCTT